AGTAACGAAATCGATAACAGATTGGAGCATGACTTCAGGCTTGTTGATTAAGCAATCATGGTAAGTCCCCGACCTGGACCAGCCTCCAATGGAGGGCATAAGCTTGATGTAGGGATACTTAGCCTTCAGCATCATGAAGGCAGGCAAAATACCACCTGCGGGCTTACTAGTCTCCCACGACTCCTGGGAATCCAAGTTCCAATCGTTGTCAGTCCATCCCTTGGGATCTTCTTTACAAAGGTCAACGGTATCCACCGGTTGAATGGAACACTCTTCAGGATTCCAGCTCCAGAACGAGTAGTTCAACACGAAGTTTCTCACCGGCATATCTCTAGACAATATGTTCTGGTCTATGGTAGAAGGGCCAAATCCACGGACCCAGCCTGCCCAATTCTCGTAGTAAATAACAACCAAGGGAGCGTCATCTGATACTGTACCTTCAGCAACCCTAGCAGCAGATAACCCTGCAAGAGCGCAAATAGTTGTAAGGGCCTTCATCAATTTTGTTCGATGTACTCTGTTAACCGGATCAGGGCCAAGCAGAGATATTCAGATCAGGACAAGATCAGGGCGGGTAAGTATTGATCTCCTACAAAAAAAACGGTAGAGACGGCGCGTCGAGTTAGGCATCAAGAGAAAATCACAGAGTTGAAAATAGCTGTAAGCTAATTTCCCGGTTGAATAAAGTTCCCTCGCCGACGGAATTGACGTGGCCGGTCGTGTTGCAAGTCTTTCTGATCCTCCTCAGGTTTTGTCCTGGGACTGGCGGCTGTCCTGGGACTGGCGGCTGCCCTGGGACTATCATCACCGCTATCAGAACCACAGTTGGACGGGTAAGTCTTTTTTGGTTTCAACTTCGATAACATGTTCGCAAATGAGGCCTGATCCTCATCCGAGAAGTCTTCAACATATGGTTTGGAGCGTGCTTGTCGACGTTCTTCTTGGGCCCAGTAGGCGTTCCAATAGGTGCCCGACGAGCGAGTGGTATTCTGGTCATTGACATTGTGGTCATTGACATTGTGGTCATTGACATTGCGTGTGTTGCGAGAGCGCAGGTTACCTTCAGTGTTGGCTCGGAAGGTTCGTGAAAGGTGTTCTGTGGCCCTCTGGGTTTCGACGCTTCTTGCTTCCTTGGCCTTTAGCTCTTTAGCTAGTCTCTTTTTCCGTTGCCAGATGGGATCTCCAAAATGTTTTGGGGCATAGGGACTGGCGGCTGCACCACACGGTGTGGTTGGCAGATTTGAAAGAACATATTCGTAAGCCTCTTGAACCTGGGTAAACAAACTGGAATTTCCCCCCACCCGGTCGGGATGAGTTTGTAAAGACTTCTTCCTGTACGCCCTTCGTACCTCCACCGCACTGTATACACCACTCGGGTCAAGTCCCAATACTTGAAAGTACTCCATCCCTCATAATTTATATTTCATCACTTCCATTCATCCCGGCCTCTATCAACTTCCCTCGCCTCTATCAACTTGAAAACACGTGAATGGCTGTACACAGAAAGTTGTGTGGACGTGGGTGGTGATGGTTGTCACCCAAGAATACATGCCCCAACCGCTTATTTTCAACTAGATATACGTCTATTTATAACAGAGTGTTTATTATTCAGCTGTAATGACCAAAGCGGTTTTAGTGGCTGTCCTGTGCTACATGGTGGCGCACGGTTTTGTTGAGCCTCTGCCTACGAACTCGACTTTGTCAGAAACAATAGCAGTGTCGGTTGATACTGCATGCATGGTTTGTTCGGCAGTCAACTACAAGGAGCTTGGGGGTTGTCTCCGTTCGGCGGATGTGCAGTGTTACTATGACCTGTACCTGGCGACGCCTGTATTCACCGATTGCGTTACCGGTAGCTACCTAACAAGCACAGTCTACACGCCCACACTACCTGCGTGGGAGGAGAGACACGAGTTGTCTGCTGGACACAAGTTGTCTGCTGGAGACGAGTTGTCTGCTGGACGCCAGACTGATTTTCTCCACAATAAGACGGAATTCCACAATGGAACGGAATTCCACAATGGGACGGGGAGTGAGAACGGCAGTCGTGAACTGCTTAAGAGGCATGCAAATAAATTAAAGAGGGCACAGTATCGTGCTGAGTTCTTAGCGAGCCGTAAGGACGACTCAACGAAGGAGGAGGAAGACTCAGGCTGGGAACTATTCCAGATTCGATTGGAAGGGATGGGAACACAAGAATACACGTTGAAAGACGTGAGCACAGTCGAATTGATGGATTTGGATGGCTGTAGGTGTAGCTCTCCAAAGTCAATAGATACAACGTTCAACAAGGATGGTACTGTTGACATTTTGGTCCTGCCACCGCTACCGGAATTTTCAAGGATAAAAATTACCTTTACTGAAACTGATCTCAATCTGGAAACGGCTCATTTAGTAATTGTCAGTCGGTACAAGCATCGACCAGAATCCTTGTGACACTGATGTGGCAAGACTATGCGTGGGCCCACAGACCACCTACAGAATACCTTGTTAATTTTATGGTGGGCAGGCGGTGAATTTTTTGTGACGTATGACACCTGAAAATCAAAATTCCGTACTGGCAACGACAGCATACTGGGACAACTGGTATCACGAGGAGCTGAAGCAGTTCGAGGATAACAGTACGTCTGCATACACTTGAATATACACTGTACCCACTCCGTGTACTTGTTGCGTGTGTAGAGGGTTGTGACGTTGTGATGTTGTAGACACTTTGGGTGAAGAATGGTACGGCAATTACCAAGAACATGTTCTGGATTGGATAAGTAGCAGTTGGAATGGATGGTGCACTAATGTTAATGTGGCAGACGTTAGCCTCTTGGATATTGGCACGGGTAATGGGCTGTTCTTGTACCGACTGGCGGAAGTAGGATTTAGGAAGTTGTACGGAGTGGATTACTTGGAGTCGGCTATCCGTTGTGCCCGTGCGTTCCGAAAGAAGATTGCGACGGGGGAGGTTGAGGTAGAAGACAGCAATGCTGACTTGACCAAATGCGAATTCCACTTCGATGTGGACGATATAATGGCGCCGTCGCGAGCTTCCGATAAAACTACGGGCGAAAACCCAGCGGGAGAAGGGATTGAAAAGTTGTTGGCGTCAGATGGTCCAATGGTGATCCATGACAAGGGCACTCTTGACGTATTCTACCTCCGTTCCCAGATTGAATTGATGGTGAAACGCGTGTGCGAAAAGTACGCCACAAATCCGAACTGCATATGGATCATCTCCTCCGGCAACCTCACTCATGACGAACTCAAAGGCTGCATCGAGCAGTTCAGCGACTTCAGAGAAATCGGTCGTATGAGGTCTCTGCCACAGCTAAGCTTCCAGGGCCACTCCGGAACCACGCTGGCTACAATGGCTTTTCAACGACCCGCCGCCTGCCTCACAAGCCCCTAGTCAACCAGTCCCAGGCTCGATACCAAACAGGCGGAGGAAATATACGTCTCACGTAGGCTTGCTTCACGTAGGTTTGCGTCACGTAGGCTTGCTTCACGTAGGCTTGCGTCACATAGGCTTGCGTCACGTAGGCTCGCCCCAGCTCACGTAGGCTCGCCACAGCTCACGTACCGACTTCGAGGTCGGCTAAGCGGTCCATCAACTGCGCCATTGTCTTTTTCAATAGCCGATTCTCCTCCTTCAACTCAGAACTCGTGTCGACTTGACGCACTTCCGTAAGCTCCTTGACTCTTTTCTCCAACTAAAATGCGGTGCGTGTGCGCGCGCGGTGCGTTGTGCCCTGTCTGTCCTGCGTTCCAACCTGGGATTGGGTGCGTCTGGGATTGGGTGCGTCTGGTCATACTTCTTCGTTCTTAGCCTTCAACACGTCAATCTCCTGTTTCAACCTTCGAAGTTCGTTTTCTTGCATTAAAAACTCCCATGAAGACGATTGATCCTACCACAAGGAATGTAAGATCCAAGGAATTTAAGAGCCGTGGTGTCTGTCTGGCTTACCATGGTAGCAGACCTTTTAACCGGGAAATCAGGTCTCAGCAGCTCCTCAGACGAGTGTATCAGAGGGTCGTACCCCTCATCACGTCTGTCGTTCCGTCTGTCCTTTTCGTTCAACTCCCCCCGATCCTGAATTCCATCCTGTGCATCCTGCGGCTCCAGTTCATCCTGCCCACGTGGGACTCCCGTTTTAGGCACGATCTCTGGGCTGGATAAGATCTCTGAGTGATTTGTTCCATGTTGAATTTCTTCCTGATAATCGTCTGAATCCTCATCGAAAGCAGCCTTGAACTCTTTTATACCATCCGATAAAGCCGAGGTTACAGTGGTCCACATGTTATTTTTTAACCATAAAACTACTAGTTCGACTCCACTAAACTAGTTGCCACTAAACTAATTCGACTAGGCTACTAGGACCAAACTATCAAACGATTTCGTCACACCTGCTTTGTTCAAAAAAACATCATCCACCAACTAACTAATCACCCGGTAGCTACGTGGCATCGAACAGTGTGTTAGAACGAGAAATTGGTATCGTCTAACGAGCAGTTATGGTTAGACCAGCAGTTGTGGGAGCTTGTCTAACGATACCAATTTCTCGTGTTTTTCTCGAGAGCATACTCTACGCAATTTGGCAGTATGTCTGTTGGCTGATAACGCATTTTGCCAGAGCATCAGCCGTGGTTACCCCCGGGCACCACGGGGCGAGTTCACCACCGGGTGCATAAGATGCGCAGAAGGCTTTGCAGGTATCAACCCAGTGACCCGCAGAAGTCAGCATCGACTGGCAGCCAGAGATCAAGTTTCCTCCACTCGAATTACCTCCCTGGGTCGTCACGGGGCCAGGAGTAGTGGTAGGACGAGGAGTAGTGGTAGGACGGGGAGGAGTGGTAGGGCGGGCCGTAGTGGTAGGACGCGGAGTTACTGGTCTAGGAGTGGTGGCAGCAGTAGTCACTGGTCTAGGAGTGGTGGCAGCAGTAGTCACTGGTCTAGGGGTGGTGGCAGCAGTAGTCACTGGTCTAGGAGTGGTGTTGTTGTTGTCACCAGAAGACCCGTCACAAGGTGCAGCCATCACACCGAGGTCACTGTTATCTTCACCGAGATGGGCCTTCCAGAACATGACACCCCCTCTGTATCCCATCTCTTTCCAAGCCTTGCAAATGAACTCGCGCAACTGCGGAATGGGTACATAACTGTCAGCACTGGCGTCTCCAACTCGAAGAGGCTTGCCCACCACATACCTGTCCTTCGGGGCATTCGGGTATCTGGCATACAACTCGTTAATAGCACCTACGCCGTTGCCTTCGAACAGCCCGCTGTATGTAGTATCCTTCGTCCAAGTTCCTTGGTTGTAATATTGGATCAGATAGTGGTCATGATCGGCGCTCATCTTCGACAGATCGGCCCAGCTGTCCGGAATGGGGTTCATGTGAGGTGATTGAGGAGCTGAAGTGATAACGCCTTCCGGCCATACCGAGCGGCAAGCGATGGTAGCTTTGCTCACCCAGTCCAAAATACTGGTGTCAGTATAACCGAAGCCCTCCTTGTCGAAATCAACGCCATCAACATTCAAGCTCTTCATCAAATTGCAGAGATCAGTACCGTACGTCGTAGCATCCACGGCCTTCCAATTCAGACCCTCAGATTCGCCTCCCGACGAGATCATCAACTTAGTCCCGTTAGCGTGCAGCTTATCAACGAAGGCCTGACGATCAGATTCCGACAACGCAGCCCAGGCAGCAACCGTGTCAGCAACATTCGCTGGAAACTGCGCATTCCCGACAAGGTGGAAAGCAAGCAGAATCGTGCTCACTCCAAGCTGAGACAGCTTGTACAACTCGTCAGTAAGTGCAGACCCAGTGTAGTTCCAATCATCAACGTAGACGTAAACCGGAACACGTTCTCCGGCAAACGCGGTCAATCCCAATATGGTAGTCGTAATAAAAGGTCTCATTAAAACCGGTTACTACATATAACGCTGGTGCAATAACTTATGCTGAGACCGCGAGAATCCACGAACAAATCAGCAGATCGGCGCAACCACTTAAAATCGTTGATATCTTCATACTCCCCTTTTCAACAAAAATTCTATTCGTCTAACTCATGCCTCGAGATCTTCGGGCCCTTCGACGCGCTCTCCGCCGCGCTCTTCGTCGCAATCTTCGTTGCAATCCTCGTCGAACTTGTCGCAGCAGAATTTCAATAACCCGATCATAGCCACAACTCCAATCACCGTCGCGCCCCAAAACTGGAACCCGATGCTGGCTGCGTCTGTGACAAGACCCCCACAAATAAGGTCCTTGGTCCCCTGCACGAAATCAGCAAGAGGAAGACAATTATACTCATTGTCAATGCGTTTGACGTACTCGCTGTAACCTGCAACAGAACATTTATTCCCGTCCCCTTGTGCACACGTGTGTGCACACGTATTTGTGCTTACCTTTCAGTGTTGTGTAGGACGTCATGGTGTCCATTATTCCTTCTTTCACTGACTTCGTGGTAATGTATCGTCTTGCGGCCGTCTCCAGAGAGGCCGGGAAGCTTTTGGCCCACGCGCTGTACGAAATTAACGCAAGATCATCGCCGGTCTTTTTGCCGACGAACAGATTACATGGATATGTGGGACTGCAGAAATCCGAGTAACTCTGTACATAAGCCGCGTCTGCAGCCGTGGTCAGCGTTTCGGGCACGAACTTAGGTGCGCGTTGCAAGGGGAGTTCAAGAGCTGCCAGTCGGACACCTTGCCAAATGAGCGAATAAAGCTTCAATCGCTGGTCAGCATCGTCTGAAGTTTGCAGTGAGGACTCCAACATCATTGTGGTTTCCGTTCTGCAGTCCTCCAATGTGTTTGTGCTGGGTAGTACTCCTTCTGTGTTGATCATTGACAGCACGACTTTGGTCGCAGGGGAGCATCTAGGGCTTCCAGCGAAGCAAACGGAGGGTGCGTCAGCCGCTAGAAGGCCTTGGAGGGCGACTTCAATGTCTATCAGACCTGCAATCCTGTTTAGTTTCACCCCGGCACGTGTGGAAGCAATGTCACATACTGGCTCTCCGTCACAGTCGAAGCTGTTATAGGAAGCGACGGCGAGTTCCGGACCAATGACCGCCTTCAGCTGTTCCAGCTGCGTCCCTGCATTGGGAAGCACCATGGTCCGTTCTGCGCCCGTCTTCCATTCGCCCCAGCCGCTAGCGGGATCATCGTCATTGAACATAGGAGTAAGTTGTCGTTCCGGCAACTGTTCGAATACTTTTGAGATCTGCGCGGGCAATTCTACATTGTCAATCAACCCAAGATCGGCGCCATAGTACGTCAGAGTGGGTACTACTAGTGACCCGTCCGCGTTCTTGACCAGACAACTTTCGACCGCTATATTCCACAGTTGGACATCTTCCATGACACGCAAATCGCCATCCCGGATTTGCTGTAACGCATCGCACACTCCACTAGTTGCTGCTCCGCCGGATACGAATACTAGACCTGCGACGCAGAATACGAGGGCAAAGAGCGCCCAGATCCAGCTCAGAATTCCAGCACTAACCTTTGCCACCCGAAAGTCGTGAATCTTCATTCTCCAAGTCTTCTTCGCTCGACCTATCATAAATGGTGTCGTCAACAACAACAAAAGGGTGAACACTCCCCACAGACCGGCAGCACCCTGGAAGTTAACGTGGAACCAGTCCTTAGTTCCCGTGATATCAACCAAGTTCGAAGCTGCCACATCAAGTTCCCCTTTAATTTCGTCAACACTCGAATCAATGGGCGAACGAAGCTCTTTCATGTTCTCAGCGAAATCAACCAACTCCAATTGGTCCAAATTCTCCGCAGATATTGCAGCATTCATGGCCTCCGTAACCACGCCATAAGCAGACTGGAAATTCTTCAATAAAGCTGACTTCTCATCCAAGATTGCCAAACCCAAATCTAAGGTAAACTCTCCCGTCTTCTCACCCCAACCTGTGAATAAACTGGAACTAAGGATGCCTTGAGTAAACAACATGTCCGGGAACAATCGATTAAACCGACTCTGGGTCATAGTCGCAGCATTCGGCGGACTCATGTCCATCTCACCCGCCTGCTCCGACATGTACTGACTCGTCGCCTCCAACCTCGCGACCAAATTCGCACCAGCCGGCCACCGAGAACCGTCAGGTTGCTCAGAACCGGAATACAGCAACTTGTCATACGCATTGTAGTAACCACCTAAACATAAGAGCTAATGTTCTCTTTCCCCCCGCTCGCTCTTTCCCCCCATCACAAGTAGACTTACAGGTTGACTTATCATAATCCTTTGACATTTTGGGGATGTAGACCCACCCCAGTATCATGACCCACAGGCAGAACATTCCACCCAACACCAGTAGGGCAAGCGACAAAAGGGAATTGCTGTTGTTGATATTCTTTCGTTTCTTGTTACTGCAACAACATGATGAAAGCTTGCAGCATTTGAAGCATTTGGAGCAGAAAACAAATGGCATTATAATCCAGACCAAAAGCAGCGCTACGGCCAGGACGATAAATGGATATTCAACGATACAGTAGCTTGCCATAACGCTCCAATGTTCTTTGTACAGCTTTTCATGATATATTCTGTACATCTCCCGACCTGCATTGCGTCCCATCATACTCAGTCCCGTTGCCATCTTTTGCCATCCGCTGGCCCAACCGTCCTTCTTGGGTGCCAACATCGGCCCAGGCACTTTGCCACACGTCTCCGACATCAGCTGTTGCAACGGCGCATAACAATCTTCCATTGACATGCATATATTCTCATCCACTTCCCATGACAGACTCCGATCCACATACTCTCCTTCCACGGCTATCCAAACCGTACATAAGACTAAGACTAAATATCCTAAACCCAACATTCAAGAATAAAAATTAATTGTCTGGGTCGCACAAAGATCAGCGGAGACTGCCTCTCTACAGTTTCAACACAAAAAGGTGGATGGCTTGCACTCCGCGAGGATTTTGTGGTGAAGCGAACAGAGTCCCCATGGCGGGTGATCGATTCAGGGTTGCATGTCAGGAATAAATGGCCCCGTGGAACGGCTTGGCAGCTGTGAATGGTTTCGTGAGGGGTTGTTTGAAGTGTCGATAAATGTGTGTCAAGAAATACCGGCTGGCAGACGAGATACGGTACTGTAGTGAGTGTTGAACGGGTTGGTGCCGGGCTGGAATTTCTTTTGACCCGCTCTTGAATCGCTGGCCCGCTCTGTTCTTCTCGCAGCAAATCAGTATGATGATAGCTGAGAAGGCTTACCATAGACAACGACTGGGTACCAGCTGGCTATCCAGGAGGCGTTTAAAAAGTTCACTAAACGTGTCGTCGCCAAAAATCTATGAGGCCAGCATCCAGCGGCTCGGCTACACCGAGGACTCCAGATCCCAGGTTTTCAACGAGGTGACCATGGTCTTGCAGCGATAGTCATGGGTTACTTTGCCGTGGGGACGCCGCGGTGTCTCCTTTCCTTGGATGCTATTCCGTAGTGATCCCTGGCTTTGTGGGCATGCGGAGGAGTTGGAGGGTTGCTGGTTCTCCGAAAGTTGGTAAAGGGGAAAGCGCCGGCAGCACAGGGGATCACGGCTGGGATGGGCAGTCGCTGATGCGACTCCCGTGGTGCACGGTTACTGAGAGAACGAAGCGGTGGGCGAAGACTGCCCACGGCCGACGCAAGTGCGCGCGGACGCCACCTGAGTGAGATATGGTTGGCAGCCGGACTATCAGGGGACATGTGACTTGATTACGGTTATGACGAGTTCGAGATTTCGACACGCCGCTAGTTTCGGGTTGGTTGAAGTAATATAAGAGAGGCCCACGGTTGTCACGGGTACGTCGGAATAGAAAGTGTCCGGTGTGCGGTTGCATGTGAGCGATGGATGGCCCGAGTGGAACGGCTTGATAGCTGTGAGTGGTTTCGTGTGACGTTGTTAGAAGTGTCGGTGGACGTATGTCAAGAGATACCCATCGGCAGACGCGATACCGTACTGTAGTGAGTGCTGAATGACCAACAGTCCAAGATCTGACTGGTGGTCTGTTGTGGTGGTGGTGGTGGCGTTCTGTCGTCAGCAGAACCGCGCAGGTCCTCCGTGACTGAACTCAGGCGGCCGTCGTGCTCGTGGGTGGTAGACTCGACCATGGTTTACTGTTGTTTTGCGTCCCCCCCCTTTACCCTAAAGATTTACGGACCGTAAACACGCATGGCTGCGACAGACCACAGCCTTCCTCGACTGAGAACATGACGAGTTCCTCAGGCGCCTTGACCAGGTCGTCGTTGTCTCGCTCGTTGTCAGTGCGCCTTCGTTTCCGGGGGATCCCGCTAGACCCCGCTACTTCCTCCGCGGCTTTTAACAACTT